ATGATGACTGCAAATGGAGACAGCAGCCACAAAATTAAAAGACGCCTGCTTCTTGGGAGGAACGCAATGACAAACCTCGACAGCATCTTAAAAACCAGAGACACCACCTTGCCGACAAAAGTCCGAACAGTCAAAGCTATGGTATTTCCAGCAGTGATGTATGGAAATGAGAGCTGGACCATAAAGAGGGCTGACTGCCAAAACATTGATGCTTTTGAATTGTGGTGCTGGAGGAGACTCTTGAGAGTCCCCTGGACTGCAAGGAGAACAAACCTATTTGTTCTGAAGGAAATCAACCCTGAGTGTTCCCTGGAAGGACAGATCCTGAAGCTGAGGCTCCAATACTTTGGCCACCTCATGAGAAGAGAAGAAAAGACTCCCTGGAAAAGACCCTGATGTTGGGAAAGTTTGAAGGCAAGAGGAGAAGGGGACGACAGAGGTGGAGATGGATGGACAAGGTCATTGAAGCAGCCAGCATGAATTTGACCCAACTCTGGGAGGCAGTGGGAGACAGGAGGGCATGGCATGCTCTGGTCCATGGGGTCACGAAGAGTCGGACACAACAACTAAACAACAACAAAATCAAAGAGTCAGATGCAGACTTGGGACTTGGGACTCTGACCCAAACAAAGACTTGCCCACATCCCTGATTATAACTTGTCTTTGCTCTGCTGTTTTAGCAGCTCCTCAGCGTCCCCGGCTGTGCTCTGACCTGGAATGTCGGTCAGCAAGGTTGCCACGTGTCTCCTAGGGCTTATGAAAGCTCAGGGAGATACCTTTGGGGGAGAACCCATCATTAGGGACGGAGAGAGTTTGATGATGGCGTCTGAGGTGGCTTGAAGCTCTCGGCCATCCTCTCTGCCCATCCCCAGTTGGGGCCAACGGCACAGCCCAAGGGCGGATTTAGGTATGCAGGGCAAGGCTGAACGTTGTACTCTTAACGGCATTTAATGTGGGTGACCCTGCACCCCCCATTGATCCATTTTGTTCAGTTTGTTGATATTAGCACATTCCCGGTCTTCTTACACCCATAAGCTTCTACAGAGACCAACCACATTCGTTTGTCATGTGTTTGATTAAGTGCTGTTTATGCAGATCGGCACATGCCAATGTTTCATCTTCTATATCAGGGATAATTCATGCATGTCAAATGTGCATCGAAGTTGTGAAATCTGTGACAAATGCAGTTGAGTTCTTAACTCAAATCTAAGTACTTAAGTCAAGTCAATATTTTCCTATGAGAGCGGTTCGTAAGTCAAAATGTTCTTAACTCAGGCCGTTCGTAAGTCAAGACCCCACTGTACAAATGCCTTTTCAATGCCAAAGAAGGGTATCGTTCCCAGAATTCCACAGACAGGCAGCCTCTCTCTTTTTAGCAAGCCTGAGCAGAGCTCATGGAATTCTGGGAACTGTAGTCCAAAATCACTTCTACCAGGGGTTTTTCTGTTCCAGCCTTCTGCTCCCACCTTTGCCAAGCCATTCACCCAAAGCCATTGCCTTTTTAATGATAGCAGGGAGGGGGCCAGACGTAACTCCTCCTGAAGCTGGTTCCATGAGGTCAGCGCCACCACATAGAAGGCCCTGCCTCTGGTGGATGACTTTGAACCCTCCGTCAGGGTGGCTATGTGGAGAAGGCAAACCTGGGAAGATCTGGTGGGTCAGGCAGATGACTTTGGGGAGAGACATTCTGACAAGGAACGTGATCCCAAGATGTGGAGGGCTTTACTGTATATCTATGAAGAGCTCTGAACCTGGTTCAGGATACAACAGGTAGCCAGGGGAGAAGAGCCAGAACTGGAGCGATGGGATCACATTGGCTCACACCTATCTGGCGGCCGCATAATCTCTGGACCTGCAAGGATCTCCAGGTCCGTCTCAAGGGAAGCCCCATGTTGTAGTAGTCAATCCTGGAGAGGACTAGTGCTTGCACCGATGTCTTGAAGGAACCCCTGTCTAAGTAGGGTTGGAGATGGGCGATGAGCCTCAGCTGACGAAAGGCTGATCTGGACACGTTTGCAATCAGGGAATCCCAAGAAAGAGCCAGGTCCAGGAGAATGCTCTCCTGCCAGGCTAGCAGCCCTTGGCAGCCTTATCCGCCAGCCATTGCCTTGGAATCGTAGAATCATGAAGTTGGAAGGGGCCCATAAGGTCATTGATTCCAACCCCCTGCTCCATAAAGGAATACAAATCTTTTTCTCACTCTCCCCATCTAGTCTCAATCCTTGAGGTGGGCAACGACTGTCTTCCGAGGTAGTTGACAGCAGCACCATGACAGGTATGCCCAGAGACTATGATAATAAGAAAAGCTGTGCACCATCAAGTCCAACGTATAGGTACACCTTCCAGGGTTTCCTAGTATACAGGACCCAGTTTACTGCAAGCGATAGAGTGACAGGCTAGGACTCTGGAGACCACAGTTCAAATCCCCGCTCAGCTACGGAAACACACCGAGAGCTTGGAACTCATAAAACCGTTCCTTAAATATCTCACTTGCTTTGAAACCCCTATCAGGGTCGCTATAAGTCAGTTCTGACTTGACCGCACGGAAGAACAAATAAATGCACAAATATTTGCCATGGGCTCCCACTCTTATGTCTAAGGAGGTGGACTTGTCCACAAAAGCTCACGTTAAAATATAGTACAGTAATTCGTTTTTAACGGGCCACCAGGTTTTTAATCTTCTTTTGTTTCTTTTTCTGTTTTTGGCCTGGTATAGCACCGATCCTGTCTAGAAAAGCTCTGGGACCATCGGGTAGCTTTCCCAAGGCCGATAAGGTCCGGCTCTTCTCCCTCTGAGGGGAATATTGGGGAATCCTCTGTCGGATCTGCTTGGATTTGGATTCCTGCCTTGAGCAGGGGGTTGGACTTGATGGCCTTCGAGGCCCCCCTTTCGATTCCAGCCTTCTAGGATTCTGTAATTCTATCATAACCCTAAGAAGGCAGTCCTGATTGTTAAAAGTCAGCCTGAAAAGATGGGTCTTCAACTGTCAGCAGAAGGATAAAAGGGAAGGGGCCAGCTTCCTCTCCTGTGTTGGATTGCAATTCAGTGGAGAGTGCAATTCTAGATGAAAAGGGAAGCCTCACATGTATTGCCAGAACTGGCCACTAGAGGGAGCCAGAGATTGTGCTATGAATTCTTGTTCGTGAAGAATCCAGTATTTTTCTGTGTATAAAATGACACTTTTTTCTTAAATAATTTGAGAATAAATTGAGGATTGTTTTATACACGGAAGGCAGCTCTTTACCGCTGCGTTTTGCGAAAGCACAGGGCTTAGCTAAAAGGAAGGGGAGCTCCGCGCCTTCTCAAAAAGCAAGGAAAAGTGGCAGTCACTTTGACAGCCGCTTGCTTTGCCTTTTGCCAAGGCACGGGGCTTAGCAAAAAGGGAGCCCTTTGATCCCTTCTTTTTTTTAATTTGGGGTTAGAAAAGGGGGGGGAGCAATCTTATACTTTGGGTCGTCTTATAAAAAGAAAAATATGGTACATAGCGCTTTAGTGGCTAGTTCTGGTAATGCATGTGAAAATAATTTGTTTTTTTTCCCTTTTACCACGATTTCTCTCTCTCTCTTGTGTGCTATTATCTGTAGTTTTCAGTATCCACAGCGGGGCCTGGAACCAACCCGCTGAGCACTTCCTAACTTTTCTATAAGTCAAGTTTAAAGAATAAACGCACATAACCTATTTCCCCCCCTGTTTCTCCAAATGCATATCTGTTTCCACCTGCACCGTTATTTTTTCGAACTTCAAATTTTACGTCCAATTGCATGCAGGAAAAAAAAATGCCTGCCTTAAAGTCATTTGTGGTTGACTAGAAAACAGCTTATCAAGCAGTCTCCCCCACCCTCCAGCGTGTTTCTAATTCAGTGGAGGGTGCAATTTTCTGGATGAAGAGAGAGGTCTTAATACCCCTTTCAAAAGCCACCTACATATCTTGATGTTGTTCTTGTCTCACAGCCACCTCATAAGAGTTCCTCCGGGCCATAAAACTTATGAGGATCACCTCCTTCCTTTTGGGCACGGATGACTCAGTCCTGGAGGAAATGGTTGTCAAGAATAGGCAGGCCACTATTAATGGTGACTTACTGGTCCAACGAGCAGTTGGGGCTCATCAGCCTTGGAAGAAAGCCCATCTAGGAGAAGGAAAACTCCAATTCCAAACCCCCACTGCCTTATGCATTTATCCAATGATGGAAAAGGCTTCAGGAGTTAACCTCGAGGCAAAATCTGGAGCCAGGGTCCTGGAGGCAGTTCGTGTCGTTCTGGCAACTCCTGTGACTTTGCTGGAACCAGTTGTATTGGCTCTTGCCTTTCCATTGGACCATTTCAGCAACGTGGAAAGGAGGGATTTGCTGCTTGGGTAACAGCCTATCCTGCATATTATTCTACTCAGGCTTCGTGCCCTGGAGAGGATGCTCCAGGTTTCCATTGGACCATTTCAGCAACGTGGAAAGGAGGGATTTGCTGCTTGGGTAACAGCCTATCCTGCATATTATTCTACCCAGTCTTCGTGCCCTGGAGCGGATGCTCCAGGTTCGCATACAGCGTCGAAACAACACAGGAAGTAGCAGTTACCTGTTCAAAACGAGGGAGCTGGACCAGGGGATAGATGGTATTGGTCTTCAGGGTGGAAGGGACGGTCACTCTTGAATTGGCCTTCTCAGCCACACTAGACGCTGTTCCAAGACCTCCATACAGAGCACGTGACCATCATCTCTCGAGACTGAAGGATGCCTAATCTAATCTAAGGTCCAACCAGATTGGGGAAGGAACTCAAGCATCTTCCCAGCCTTTTAGGGAGGTGTGTCTGCCAGGATGAGGTTCCCTGGAGGGCAGAGCTGATTTGTAGGCACCTTCCCCAACGTTGATGTCCTCAGAAGCTCACAAGCAGGTGGTGCCGCGGCAGGGCTGGTTGACGGTCGCAACTCCCAAGGAGTTTATTGATTTATTTGATTTATATCCCACCCATTTGGTATATTCTACCACTCTGAGTTCGGGGAACATATTGGGGTCTTACCTCTGGTTCTTCTCCTGCATTTGGCCATGTGGCTCCAGCGGGCTAGTTGGAAAGCAGTGAGTGGCTGTTCTGATTTTATTTATTTGTTTATTTTATTTATTTATTTATTCATTCATTCATTCATTCATTTATTTATTTATTTATTTATTTATTTATTTATTTATTTATTTATTTATTTATTTATTTATTTATCTATCCTCACTTATAAGCTGCTTTTCTTGCCAAAAGAGGACCAAAGGGAGCTGACAAGGTTAAAACAAGTAAAATTAAAACACAATAAACAACATATTAAAAAACCCCACAAATTAAACTATCCTAATAATTAAATATGTCAAGGAATTAAAAGCACTGACTAAGTCGAAGATTAAAAAACAATTAAATGATGCACTAGTTAAAATAATGTCTGACTAATTAAAAGCAATATCACATGAAAAGTTATCTTAATGTGCCAACCGTGTGACGTGGCTGCAAAAAAGGCCAATGCTATTTTAGGCTGCATTAATAGAAGTATAGTTTCCAAATCCCACAAAGTGCTGATCCCTCTCTATTCAGCACTGGTTAGGCCTCACCTTGAGGACTGTGTCCAGTTCTGGACACCACACTTCAAAAAGGATGCTAACAAATATGAGCGAGTTCAGGGGAGGGCAGGAAGGATGATGATCAGGAGGCTGGAAACCAAGCCTTATGAGGAAAAGCTGAAAGAACTGGGTCTTCAACTGTCAGCAGAAGGATAAAAGAGAAGGGGCCAGCTTGCTCTCCTGTGTTGGACTGCAACTGCCAGAATTCCCTCCCCAGTGTTACCGGGGGGGGCATACATGTTAGGGGATTCTGGGAGTTGTAGTCCAAAAGGATAAATGTTGTTCAGCAACGTTGGGCTTCTGCTTTGGAGGCTCCTAATCCCGACATGTGGGAGCTTGTCTTCTGATTTCCTCAGTTTCCACAGTTGGCGTCTACAACTGTTAGATAACTACATTAGGACCCATGTATCCACAAGATCAGTATCTGCGGTTTCACTTATCCACAGTCTGAAAATATTAAAAATATTAATAGGAAAAAATCCAGAAAAAATGGTTTTCATGTGTATTGCCGGAACTGGCCAGTAGAGGGAGCCAGAGATCGTGCCATGAATATTTGTTCAGGAAGAATAAATAGCGCTCTAGTGGCTAGTTCTAGTAATGCATGTGAAAATATTTTTTTCTGTTTTTTCCCCTTTTACCATGATCTCTCTGTCACTCACTCATTTGTTTGCTATTATCTGCGGTTTTCAGTATCCACAGTGGGGTCTGGAACCAATCAACTGAGCACTTCCTGACTTTTATACAAGTTAAGGTTAAAGAACAAATGCACATAGGCTATTTCCCCCTGTTTCTCCAAATGTATTTCTATCTGGTTCCATTGGTATCATTTGTTTTCCAACTGAAAATTTTATGTCCATTTGCATGCAGGGGAAAAAAAACGCCTGCCTTAAAATCACTTGTGGTTGACTAGAAAACAGCTTATCAAGCAGTCTCCCCTACTCGCTCTCCAGCGTGTTTCTAATTCAGTGGAGGGTGCAATTTTCTGGATGAAGAGAGAGGTCTTAATACCCCTTTCAAAAGCCACCTACATATCTTGATGTTGTTCTTGTCTCACAGCCACCTCATAAGAGTTCCTCCGGGCCATAAAGCTTATGAGGATCACCTCCTTCCTTTTGGGCACGGATGACTCAGTCCTGGAGGAAATGGTTGTCAAGAATAGGCAGGCCACTATGAATGGTGACTTACTGGTCCAACCAGATTGGGGAAGCAACTCGAGCATCTTCACGGCCTTTTAGGGAGGTGTGGCTGCCAGGATGAGGTTCCCTGGAGGGCAGAGCTGATTTGTAGGCACCTTCCCCAACGTTGATGTCCTCAGAAGCTCACAAGCAGGTGGTGCCGAGGCAGGGCTGGTTGACGGTGGCTGCCATTCTCCCAAGGAGTTGGGGGAAACATATTGGGGTCTTACCTCTGGTTCTTCTCCTACATTTGGCCATGTGGCCCCAGCGGGCAAGTCGGAAAACGGTGAGTGGCTCTTCTAATATTTATTTATTTATTCATTCATTTATAGACCTCAACAGATGGGAAACTCTGACATCTGATCGTTCAGCCTGGAGGCAGGCAGTACATCACGGCCTCTCCCAATTTGAAGAGACCCTTGTCCAGCAGGCTGAGGCAAAGAGGAAGTCCCGAAAGTAGCAAAACCAGGGAGTTGGACAGGGGACAGATTGGATTTCTCTTCTATGTCGAAGGGATTGTCGCTCTCGAATTGGCCTCCTCAGCCACACTAGACGCTGTTCCAAGTCCTCCATACAGAGCACGCTACCATAGTCTTTCGAGACTGAAGGATGCCTACTGGACCATTCATTTATTTAGCTAACCTCATAAGCTGCTTTTCTTCCCATAAGAGGACAAAAGGTAGCTGACAAGGTTAAAACAAGTAAAATTAAAACGCAATAAACAACACATTAAAAACACACACACACAAATTAAACTATCCTAATAATCTAATAGGTCAAGGCATTAAAAGCTCTGACTTTTAAAACAAACAAAAAAAGCTGAAGAGCTAAGACCAGCATCCAGGGAATTGCTTTAAATGCTACGTGTTACACTTGGAGTTAGCAGATAACAGCCCATCTGAAAAGGTGGGGTGTTCAGCTGTTGGAAGAATGATAAAAGGGAGGAGGAGCAAACTGACTTCCAGAGGGAGAGCGTTCCAGAATTAGGGAGCTGCCCCAGACAATGGGACCGAGAGGACGGCTTCCTCTTAGGATCTTAGTAGTAGGCTCCAGTCTCGAGAGACTCTGGTCACGTGCTCTGTATGGAGGTCTTGGAACAGCATCTAGTGTGGCTGAGAAGGCCAATTGCAGAGTGACCATCCTTTCCACACTGAAGACAAATACAGTCTGTCCCTTGTCCAGCTCCCTGATTTTGCTTCTTTCGTGATGGCCCCTTTGCCTCAGCCTGCTGGACAAGGGTCTCTTCAAATTGGGAGAGGCCGTGATGCACCACCTGCCTCCAGGCTGAATGGTCAGATGTCAAGGTTTCCCATCTGTTGAGGTCTATTCCTAAGGCCTTCAGATCCCGCTTGCAGATATCCTTGTATCACAGCTGTGGTCTCCCTCTGGAGCGATTTCCCTGCACTCATTTTTAAAGGATCTTAAGAACTTAATAATATGGCAGATCAACATGAGACACTCCTGCTTCATCCTAAAAATATAACTCGAGAGTTTATTGATTTATGTATTTGTGGCAACGGTGACCTTTGAGAAACCTGGCTGAGACTACAACAGGACCCCCGTATCCACTGTTTCAATTATCTGTGGTTTCCCGCAACCTTGCGTACAACCTGCAAGAAGACAGACCGTGTAGCTTTAGTCCAGTCTCCTTGAACATTGTACATAGGGTTAACTACTCTTGGGTAAACTGCCCAAAGTGGTGCATTTGCACTAACGGGGCAGTATACACATTAAATCAAGCACTCAATCAATCAATAGTGTCAGGCATTCACACGAGATTATGGAACAGATTGTCTGCAGATACAGGAATCCTTCTGTATTATGTAGCAGCTCAAGGAGTGTGGAAAGCAATATGAATCATAGCTTTTTCAGTATATCAGCTGTGAAGCCACAAACCGACACAAAATGTGCAGTAAAGCACATTGACTTAAGGGCTTAACTGTGCCTGCCCCGGCACCTATATCCAGGAGTCTGTTCTGATATTCAGGTCGCTCTGCATGTGATCACAGCCTCTGTCCGCTACAGATTGTATCCCAAAAGCTCACCAAAAGAGGACAAACAATATAAGGGGGTTCTTAGTGGGCTGGTAAAGAGGGAAACCGCTTGCTTTTTCTTAGGAATATGTGTGCCACATTTCAACCCTATGACAAAGCATTAAAAAATCAAACCGCATCAGTATTTGATATTATTAAAAACTAAAATAGCAGAGTTAACCAGACCCATTTCGCTGTATATTTGTACCCCACCCACTTTATAATATCGAAGTTTGATGTTCTTACCAGAACATATGTGTGTGAGAGAGAGCATGTGTATATATGTGGAGAGAAAGTCCCAAATCCACTCTGGTGACATAAATTCCCTTTTTTTAAAAAAAATTTTTTTGATTACAAGCTAATTTGGGGCCACACACTGAAAAAGGCAGGGTAAAATATTTTGAATAAAACCAATAAGATTCCCAGAATTTCCTCTCTTTTTTTGGTCCACCAATGTTGCAAACAGCTGGAATCCTAAAAGACCAGACAAAGCACGGAGATCAGTGAAAGGGCAACGCTTTGTTATGTTTCTTTAGCCCCTCCGTGTTCTCGCTCCGGGCTCCTTCCTAGTCCTCACACATGGGGATGCCTTAGTAGGCTCTTAAGAGCGCCTCGGAGTGCAAGAGGACAGATGTACCTGCAAAACACCCTTCCTCTCCATTTCATGTTGTGGCCATCGTTGTCAAGCATGATTCTGCTTTTCATGCAGATCATCCCTTTGTGGGATCAACCCTAACCCTAAAGTCAAATCTGAAAAGTGGCTGAGTTTTGAATTTGTCGGAAAAGGTCATTTTTGGATCTGCCTGAACTTCGATTGCAAGGAAGACTCGGAGGAGCTCGGCCGTAACCCTCTTTTCAGGCGGTCATGAGGATGAGGGGCGCTGGACGATGAAGAAAGCCAGCGATCTTAACAGCCACCCTGAGGAAGCGCAAGGAGCGGCGGGATCATACTCAGTGGCCTTAATCAGCCCCTTCCAACGCTGTTGTCTTGTGATGGCCACCACAAGCCACCCGAACCATCCCTCACAAAGAGCTACGGCTAACAAGGTCTAGCGGTCATAGCTCTTCCCTCCGGTTACTCCGGAGAACTGGGTCGGAATCCCTGCCCAGCCATGGAAACGCACTGGAGGGGTAGAATCACTCCTTCCGTACTGCACCCATCTTGAAAAACTCATTAGGGTTGCTGTAAATCTGGTGCATCTTGACATCACTGAAGAAGAACGACGAGGGTGAAGGCAAATGGAGATCACAAGGGGTTGAAATCCCTGAGACCCAACAGATCTGTGCCAAATTTATGCAAAAGCCTTCCTGAAGCAAACAGGGAGACTCCAAAAGGACTCAAATGCTGGTGGGATGAAGAAGTACTCTAAGCATGATTTTCATCCCATGATGTTATGGAGCAAACTTCACTCTTTCCTTCCTTTTATTTATATCCTGCATTGGATCCAGTGATCTCAAGAAGGCTGAAGATGCCAGCCACAGAGACTGTTGAAACGTTAGGAAGAACACAGCCAAAGAGCCCGAAAAACCCACAACAACCATTAGATCCCGGCCGTGAAAGCCTTCGCGAATACATCAAGAAGGCTTCCTTCTTTTACCCTCACTACAAACCTGCGAGGTAGATCAAGCTGCGTGGCAATAAATTTCATGGCCCACTGGGGATTTGAACCCAGGCCTCCGGAGTCCTAACCTAACATTCTCTCACCCCTGTGCCTTCTACAAACTTGCAGTGCAATCAGCAGGGTTAAGGAAGGTTACGGACCATTGCTTTGGAAGACAAGAAAAGGAGGCTGCTAGAGCAGGGTGCAGGAGTAACCGAAGGGGTGGAAAACATGTGGGCTTCCAGATGTTGCCGAGCCCCATACAGTGTGGCCAAGAAGCCCCCGCTCCCACAAGACCCGCACAGCGTGGCCAGTGGCTGGGATCAAACCCAGACCTTGGTGTGTGTGTGTGTGAAATCTCTGCTTTTTTTGGACTACAACTCCCAGAATCCCCTAGTTAGCATTGCACTTGTGGATTTCAGGGAGGGTTGTTCCCCCCAAAAGTAATATTCTCAAACTCTGGGGCACATTTTCCGAAGTTCTCATTGCCGGCGTATGGTGATTTGGTGCCAGAAGCAGAAAGCGAAACCCAAATGAAACTACTCCGTCCTCCTCCTGGAGATAATCTGAGTAGAGTTTTGAATACAGCTCCAAACAGATTAATCATCCCAGTGATTTTGGAGTACCCCTGCCTCTGCTGCTTGTCATTGTTGTTGTTGTTATTGCTGTCAAGTGACCTCACAGTTATGAATCGGCGATCTCGGAGATGTTCTATCCTCAACTGCCGTGCTCAGCTCTTGCAAAATCAACCCTGCAATTTCCTTCAAGGAGCTAGTCCATCTTGTGTTGGGTCTTCCTATTTTCCTGCTGTTTTCCACTTTTCCCAGCATTCTGGTCTTCTCCAGAGAATCCTGCCTTCTCATGAGGTGCCCAAACTGTGACAATCTCAATTTCATCATTCTTGAGTTCAGAGATAGTTTCAGACTTGATTTGATCTAAGACCCACCTGTTTATCTCTCTGGCCGTCCAGGGTATTCACAAAACTCTCCTTCGGCACCACATTTGAAACAAATCCAGTTTTTTTTCCCCCTCTCAGCTTTCTTTCCAGTCTAGCTTTTCTCATGAGGTGCCCAAACTGTGACAATCTCAATTTCATCATTCTTGAGTTCAGAGATAGTTTCAGACTTGATTTGATCTAAGACCCACCTGTTTATCTCTCTGGCCGTCCAGGGTATTCACAAAACTCTCCTTCGGCACCACATTTGAAACAAATCCAGTTTTTTTTCCCCCTCTCAGCTTTCTTTCCAGTCTAGCTTTTACACCCATATGATTTGATCTAAGACCCACCTGTTTATCTTTCTGGCCACCCAGGGTATTCACCAAACTCTCCTCCCGGAACCACATTTCAAACAAATCCAGTTTTTTTCCCCCTCTCAGCTTTCTTTCCGGTCTAGCTTTCACACCCATACATGATGATCTGGATTATAAAGAGTGTGGGTGATCTTGACCTTGATTTTCAGTAACTCGTCTTTATGCTTGAACTTTTGTTGTTGCTGCCCTTTCGAGTCAAAGGCTTCTTCTGATTTCTTGGCTGCATTCTCCATTTGGACTGATGATTGAAACAAGGTATAAAAAAACCTTGAACAACGGCAGTTTCTTTATTGTCATACAGATTGAACAGATAAAAACATAAAGGCACCGTTGTCTGACTC